TGATGGCTGAAGAAAAAAGGATTTCCTTATTTAAAAGAGAACTGTATTTCTGTGTTGTCTCAATTATTAATATTATTAATGTTGTTAAAATAAATGGCTCTTCCTTAGTGGCCCCTATTTTTTACTTGTCAGTGACAAGGGRTGGAAGCACATGATTATGCTTTAAAGTGTCTTAAAGCTGTTTTTCTGAGCACTTTGCTGGAAAAAGATTAAATGCTTAAACTTATTTACAAATTAACTTACCAAAATGTTCACARTGTTTCTAATAGAAAGTGTAACAAGATTTTTGGAAATTTTTGAAAATTATTGAACTTTTGTTTTTTTWCAGGGATGGAAAGGATCTGCTTTCTATAATTTTTCAGGAAAGATTTTTAAAACTGTTTTCCAGTCGAAGAAAATACTGCATGAGACTTTTACTAGGTCAAAGATGAGCACTCTGGTTTTGGCCACAAGCAGTAGCTGGAAGGTACTAATATTTCTAACATTTGTTGTTTGTGTTGTGGTAATTTATGAATTGTAATGGGCAACCAAAAGCCAATGTGCCAGACAATGTGCAAGTGCCGTGCAAACAAGATGTCATCACTGTTAGATTAAAGCCAGTATAAAAATCAATACCTGGATGCTATGCACAGAGGTACAGGGCACAGGAGAATTTTTTAATAAAGTTTTCACTCTTGCAGGTTACTTGTCTAAGTGAATGTGAAGGAAGATGAAGCATGTGAAGTGATGATACAGAATTGTTCATAAAAGCTCCCTAATGGTCCAAATTTGTGAGCCAGCATATTAGACGTGTACAAAGGGACAACAAACATGGGCAAGTATAAAAATCTCCATATTATAAATATTTTTGATTTGGCTGATATGTTAGATTTTATAGTAAATATGCTATTTATATAGAAGCTTGAGGAGTGATAGACTGGATAAACTTTATTGTTAATACCTAGATTTTTAGGTTTAAAAACTAAAAAACTGCACTTTTTTCACCTTATGTAAATATRTTAAATATCTTTCTGTGAGTAATTTAAAAGCCTAATATTTCAGGAAAATTAATTCCAATCATCAAAATTTTTGAGGTTTATACATCATTAGAACAATTTTTTTATATTGCAATTACTAATAACTATTTTGAAATAAGCTTACTATAAAAATTCTAAGAATTTTATATGAAAAAATTAATTACTAAGCAGTATTTCTGAAGTATTTACATATGAAAGTCATGCATGGAACAGGAATAYTATAGTATTTAGGGAAAACTTGGCAGAATTTTGTGGTAAAATCCCTGAAGAAAACCTACTAAGTTAAGTAACTCCAAAAGTTGCTAAATAAATTTTATTGTAAGTTGATTTTGTTGGATGTGAAATGGTAACTAATTATATTTCTTGATAACATGAATCAGCTATCTAGAATTACCATCCCTCCGTGGTTTTACATGCAGTTAAATTAGGGCACAGATAGTCTCAGCTATGATTATCAAGACGTAATATTGCTCTCATTCTTTCTAAATAGTTGCATATCTATTTTTTTAGTCATGTTAAAGAAAGTTCWTCATTTTATTAAGGTTTACCTGTGTACCTGTATTCAATGCTAGGTTCTTTTGACTCATATCATCACCAGTAAAGCAGCATCTACCCGTGGAATTTAGTCAGTAACCACTGATGATAGAAGGTCCAGAACAGAACCTGTCTTTCCTTTCCCCATGAGTATTAACTCCTGCTACATTGTCAATTAGGCCAGTTCTGCACTTGGAATTGAACCAATGCATCTGTTAATGATGCATACACAGAATCCAGCTACTTTTCAGCTATAATGGCTCTGGCTGCAAAGAAAAAAAAGGCTGGGTTTTTTTTCTCCTGTAATCTAATCAAATTTGGGTTTCAATAAGCACAATGAATTGATCTGGTAAGAAAAAAATAGTGTTTTAACTTGCATCAATCTCTTTAATACATCTGGCCTAGATGTTTCTTGTCAGTATCATTGAGTGAAAGGTGAAGTAAACAAGAAAACTGGTTACCAGAATACTGATTTCCAGATCTTTGACCCAATTTAAATAACTGTTTATCAAATTGATTTTTGTACTGTTTATTTATTCGTATTAGCTGTAAATTTACTTTCTTTCCATGATGTAAAAATATGTGCAATAAAAAAACTTGTAGAGGGGTGTGCACATATACATATATTTTTGTAAATATGTATAGAATGCAAAAAAGGCTCAAGAGAGGCGATGCAGAGAAAGAAGGTAAGAACATCAGTGCAGTAGGAAAAATGATTTATCACACAGAGCTAGGGGTCTGCTCGAAGCCACAAAATGCCAAGATGCCAGTCAGATTTGCATTTGYGCTGCTTGTGTATTCATGCCACTTACACATTAAATGTGTCTTTAAGGAGACTTTTATTTCAGGTGTATAAAGCCTTGTGTAAATGCACATCGAAGTTTTTCAAGATGTGGTGAGCTTTTTCATAATCTGGCCCTTCTGCTTGCTTTTCTGTGAGCAGGAGAAGGTAGAGGGCCAAACACAGGTGGATGGATAGGTGCTYGTCTTGAAGAGAAAGGAATCGTCCCTTTCTCTTAATCTCTGAAGAAGAAATGTCCTTTGCACCTTATTTTGGAAAAGGGAGGCCTCGTGTGGTCAGGCATGGGAACAGCCCTGTCGGGCTGGGCAATCCCGGCCACAGGCGCTCCCTCCTTCAGCTGGAGCAGGGCTATAAACATGGGCATCCGAGTGGTATTTATCACAGAATCATAGAATGGCCTAGATTGGAAGGGACCTCAAARATCATCCAGTTCCAACACCCCTTCCATGGGCAGGGACACYTTCCACCAGAGCARSTGGCTYGGAGCCCCATCCAACCTGGCCTTGAACATTTCTAGGGATAGGGAGTCCACAGCTTCTCTGGGTAACCTGTTCCACTGCCTCACCACYCACRCAATAAATRATTTCTTCCTAATRTCTAACCTAAACCTACTTTCTTKCCATCYGAAGCCATTCCYCTTTGTCCTGTCACTATGTGCTCTTGTRTGAAGTCCCTSTTAGTCTTTCCTGTAGGCTCCCTTCAGGTACTGGMARGCCACAATTTGGTAAYTTGTAAGCCTTCTTTYTTCCAGARTGAACAATCCCAATTCTCCTAGCCTTTTCTCATAGAAAAATTACTCCATCCCACTATTCATCTGGTCCTATGCACCTGCTCCAGCAAGTCAATGTCCTTCCTGTATTTCATAGCAATATGAATGGCTACGTTAGGAAGAAGTATATGAACAGGTCTGAAGGAAGACTGAAGGAAGAAATACTTTTCTCACTGGTCCTTTTTTCCTTTATTGKGTTATAAGATAGATACATTTCATTGCCTTTCTAGACATCTAAACCAGGTAACAAACACAGAAGTCCATATGTGATATTTAATTAGCTGAACCAAGAGAAACAGAGTAGTGATCTGTGTGGTAATTGACAAAACGACAACATTTTCATTTAAAGGCAAAATTAAGGAAAAAAAGCAAAACAGTAACCATGTAAACTGAAAAAAAAAAAAAAAAAAGACTAGTTCTTTACCTGGAGTCAAGGTAAGATCTAGCCATGAGGAACAGCTCTACAGCAGCCTCAGCAGGGACCTGTGAGAATATCCATGTATCAGTGTAAAGCCCTTGTGCATGAGAAGGTATTCCAGCACTCTTACCTTACACATGTATCTTAAAGAGAAGTAAATCCAGCTGTAATGTACTTATAAGACTGTGTTCTTACTGTCAGTTCTAAGCATATTCTCCAACTTTTTGAAGAATAACAAATTCAATTTTCCCAAATGTGGGATTTACCATCAGTAACACTGATGGGATTTGTCAGAAGCCTCTCATGATGCATAACGTTCTGAAGAGGTTATTTTGGCTTGCGACTCTAGCAGGGTGTAGTGTCTGAGGAAGGCAGGGGGCTGCCATTGTGCCCACTCCCATGACCAGTACAAGGCTGGAAGCTGGCTTTTTGTTTCTTCCTTTTTTATTTGTAAGATTTATCTCTTGTCTCTTTCAGCGACTTAAATCCACTCACTTGCTTAACATTAGTCAAAATTTCCTTTMAACTTGAATGCACYTGTTGGGATACAGCTCTCAACATCRTAGGTTCAGGTCTTTGCAATACAAATGCTGGGGTTTGTCTGTTATATAGAAATGGCACATGGGATTGAGCTGTCAGGGTTGCCTGCAGTAGTCACCTTTATTGGGAATTGCGTGGTTAGAAAGGACAATATTGTGTACTCCATAATTGCAGTTTCTCACTTTGCTAAAATCTGCCCGCTGCTGCTGACAGTGTCTAATGTATGTACTATCAGCAATCRTGTCTTCTAAAGTATCTCCAGTGTAAGGCAGGGAGGAGGCATTTCCTGATGATGTAAGCCATCGTTATCAAATGCTTTTCAGAAAGGACTTTGCTTCACAAAGGGAAAATGAAAACAGCCTGCAAAATTGATCAATTTCATAATTTTGTCTAGGAAAAAACCAAGTAATTAAGAAACGTTCTCGAGATTGAAGGAAYACATCTGGAGGCAAAAGAAGTTATTCGAAAGCTTTGTTCTTCCTTGCTATGGCTTATTTTGCAATAGAGGCTCTATGCCCACAGGGTCCAATTCAGGATGACATATGGTAATTAATTTTTTTTTCTGCCCCAAGCGCATGTTGCCAATGTCCCCGAAATTCATATTGGAAGCACTGGTTAAAAAAAAAAAAAAAACCAAACCAAAAAAACAAACCCCAAACAAATAAATATAAAAGGTAAAATCCTGCCATGTGACCTTSTCTACTCGCGCATCCATCTTCCTGCGCTTCCCCAGGGGATGCTGCAGACGTCTTTGCAGGCCGTTTCCCCTTCGGAAGGGCTGTGCTCCAAGCAGTGAGGGTGGGGGGAGGACGGGGGTGTCCCCGCATCCCCCGGGCATCCCCCGCGGTTCATTTCCGAGAGCGGATCGGCGCGGGGCGAGCACCGATCTGCCTGCTGCCCCGCCCGGCGCCGCGGGCCGAGCCGAGCCGAGCCGAGCCGAGCCGAGCCGAGCCGAGCCGAGCCGAGCCGAGCCGAGCCGAGCCGAGCCCAGCCGAGCCGAGCCGGGCATGGCGCCGCTGGTGCTGTACCACTGGACGCAGTCCTTCTCCTCGCAGAAGGTGAGGGGAGGGCGGGGGCGCGGGGCGGCGGCCTGAGGGCCCCGGATCGCCGCCTCCCGCCGTGCCCGCAGCCCCTGCGCGGCCTGGGGCCGGGTCGGGAGGGATGGAGGCAGGGGGGATGGAGGGGAGCGGCCGTGGGTGCGCCGAGGCGGCGCCGGGAGGGGCCCGGGGATGCTGCCCGAGTGACCGCGGCCGTGCCGTTCCAGGTGCGGCTGGCGATCGCCGAGAAGGCGCTCAAATGCGAGGAGCACGATGTGAACCTGCCGCTGAGCGAGCACAACGAGCCGTGGTTCATGCGCTTAAGTTCCTCTGGAGAAGTACCCGTCCTGATCCATGGGGAAAACATCATTTGTGAGGCAACGCAGATTATTGATTACCTTGAAGCGACGTTTGTAGATGGTAATCCCACAGGCGTTTCAGCATGTGGTTCTTGCCCTCACCCCGTAGTTGCAGCAATGTGGGGGCCGCTCTGTGTCACTGCAGGACTTTTCCGTTCGGGGCAGAAAATGTTTATAGCCTCACAAGTCAATGGGCTCTCCTAACAGTAGTGTGGGTTGAAAACACGTCCCTCTAAAATGAATTGAAGGCCTTCCAGCACCTTCACAACCTTTTAAAGTAAAACCTACCATTGCCCTTAGCCTTTCAGGAGGGATGGAGAGCCCAGGAATGCTGGCAGCACTGTGCTGCACTAACCCTGTCGTGACACTGCYATGAAAAATAACATACTGAGCAAAGAGCTGTACAACTGCCTTTGYTGAGCAGATTCTCTGTGAGATAAGAAGAAACATGCTTAATTCCAGAATAATCTTCTGTCCAACAAGGGAAATRGAATGGGCAGATTAGTTTTTGAGCCAAAATAGAGTGAAAAGGTAAAAGARTAGGAAGAGAAACCTTGGAAGTGATCATGTGCAGGCTTTTGAAGTTCTTTGTGCCTGTACTGATTAAAAAAAACGACAAAAAACTGCCTCAACTTTTAAAGGAAATGCAGAGCTGTATTTTGTATACATGTGAAGATGGCAGCATTTTGTATTTCAGGGATTTAGTGCTGTGAGTTCTAAGGATGCAGAAAACTTCACTGTTGAGTGAACATAATTTGTGCTGTCTTTTATTCAAAAAGGGCATTGGGGCCCAGGTAGATCGAGGTTAGGGTAAAACTCAGCGATGATGTGCGGGAATAATTCCAGTCATGCTTTGAGAAGGATTCCTGTACTGTAATTTTTAGGTCATTGCAGCAGTAATAGTGTTTCAGCCATAACAATTTCCTGAAATCTCAGCTGTGCCCAAGTGTGAGAGCATTATAGCCGTTGTATGTCACAGTCACCCATTCCTAGATGTACATAACAGAGCTGAGCCTGGTTTTCTGATTTGAAAGCCTCTTAAATATGTGTTTGTGCGGGTTGCTGCGTAGAATTTGGAATCATAAAAACATGTTAAAATGAAGTACAAATATACATTTCTCTGAGCTGCAATAACRCTGTTGAGTTATGCTGGGGGAGAGGTGAAGCTTTCTTGACTGWGGCTGTGTTACCTGTCCCAGCTGGACATAACTGAATGAACTTGGGTCAATTACATGGTTCTTCTTCTCTTAACTTTATTTTAAACTTTTGTTTTGCAGAGGAAGTACCAAGATTAATGCCAGAAGAGGGGAGCATGTATTACCCAAGGGTGCAACACTATAGAGAGCTTTTAGACTCCTTGCCTATGGATGCCTACACACATGGTTGCATCCTGCACCCCGAGCTAACAGTGGACTCCATGATTCCAGCCTATGCCACCAGCAGAATCCGTAGTATGTACTGGTGTAGCTCTGCATGTCTWTAAGTTAATAGGTTGCTGCATTACATTCATCTTCTTTCTGAAGTCCCCCTTAAACACAAAATATTGATCACAGTTTACAAATTTTAGTTGCAGTCCCTGATGATTTGTGCATGTACTTTTTTTTGATTGTGTAGTCTGTTGTGATTTGAAAATGGGAAAGAGGAAGTCTTATTTTTGAKTTGTTTGTGGAGGTAATTTTTATACCATGGCAAACTTTTAATGAATTCCTTTATGTTTCCTTCCCCTTCCTTACAAATAACTAAGTAGCTCTAGGACAAGGATCAACTCTTGACAGCACAGCTGGATGATGATTCCCTGTTTACAATTCTGTTCTGAGATCTCTGATTTTTTTTGTCAGTATCAGTGGTTTATATAGTGTTGCTTCTTTTTGTATGATGTTTTAGAATGCTCCATAGAACAAAGTCAAATATTGCAGACTCTTTGAAATGTGACACAACTATACTTTTAGTAAGTGCAYGATATTGTACAAGGTCATACTGTATTAGAGAAATCATATTTCCAACAAAACGTCTTATCCTTCTCTTTAAAATTTTTGTAAGTCAGTTCTCTTATTAGCCACACTGTTGTCAGAAGTGCAGGCAGGCAGTTAATTTTCCATATAGTTGCATGAGTGATGTTACTGAAGTAACACAGACTCATAGGATCATAAAATCRTAGAATGGCATGGGTTGGRAGGGACCTTAAAGATCATCCAATGCCATAGGCAGGGATACCTTCCACTAGACCAGRCTGTTCCAAGYYCAATCCAGCCTAGCCTCGGACACTTCCAGGAATAGGGAGTCCACAGCTTTTCTGGGCAATCTGTTTCTCACCACCCTCACAGTAAAGAATTTCTTCTTCATAGCTAATCTAAATCTACCTCCTTCAGCTTAAAGCCACTCCCCCTTGTCCAAGAGCATGAATTTTTCTCTTACATCAGTGCATTGTCTGGTTTTGTTTTTTTTCTCAAATGCGAATGCTAACTGTTTGTTGGACAATTGTGCTTTACTCATAGGCCTTGTGGATGGTTTTTCTGTTTTCCCATGGTAATAATCATTGCTTTTATTACCCTTCACTTTACAACATTGTCTTCTGGGTGGATGTATTCTTCCCCTCTAGTTTCTAGTTCATATAAGTTGTTCTCAGTTTGCACATGTTCATACTGGTAGAGCTAAAATTATTGCTCGTTTGAATTGGGATGTTTTCGTATCTTTTTATGCTTAAAGCATAGCATAAATTTTTTGATTGGAAGCATTTTTTTTGAAAARCCTGTGGATGTTTCTTAACAGTTCCTTTGCATGTTCAAACTTCTCCTGGATGGTTTAGTTTTCAGCTTGAAATGCTAGGTTTTTTTCAGACTGCTAGATGTAATAAGGCATGAGCCATGTGTATAATATTTATGCATACCAAATCCAAGTGAGTAATTAATTGCATATGAAAGATTTTAGTTGTATGATTACATCCTTCAATTTCTTCATATACTGTATTGAAGGATGGCTTTCACAGTTATTTTGAAATGAATATGCAAAATAGTGAGTTCATTATTCTCTAGGAAGAATTTTTATCMGTTTCATTTATACAACTTAATTGTAACTAAACTTATTTATACAAGTGAGAGAGGTGATTCATGCTCTAATTATTCTTTTGTTCTCAGCTTATTATTAGAAATACTTACTTTTAGAAGATTTATTATTCATTGTCTTTTGATATTCTAGGTCTGTAAGTGTTGCATTTTCAAACAAAGCCCCATTTTAAGGAAAAGGCTATACACATGTAGAAATCAGTAAAATAAACTTTCCACATAATTCGTTCTTTAAGTCATGTAATGAATGTTCTTCTTGGACATCAYGTAGTTCTTAATGAACATTTCCAAAAGGATCACAGACTTTGTCATCATATTTTAGCTAAATGAAAACAACTTGGCTCCATATTCAGTGGCATTTAGGCTTTTGCTGTAAAATTACGCATGTGACCTACAGTGATCTTCAAAAAATCTCAGCGTAGGCCTACCAGCACTTCCACTGGTAGACTGCAAACTGATGAGCTGAAGATGTGATGGATCAATTTAAAAAGTAGTTAAGTTTTCCAAAACATGATGTATTTAAATCCTTACTTGGTGCAGATACTGTATTGAAGTAGCACTTACAATTTCTTTGGTTTGATACTTGTACACAGACAATTAATCAGTTCCTGTGGATTGTATTATGAGTGTGTTTGGATAGCTAATATTTGTCATTCCTTTTTTGTTTGCTTTGGTTTTTGGTTTTGGTTTGTTTGTTTTTTTTTTAATCAGGCCAAATAAGTAACACAGAATCAGAATTGAAGAAACTTGCGGAACAAAATCCAGACCTTCAGGATGCCTATATCGCAAAACAGAAACGCCTTAAGGTAAGAAACCTCTTTGTATTGGGTCCTTTATTATGAGCTTGTCAGTGCTAGATTTTCTGGTCACAATATAAACATTTGTTTCACCTGTCATTACCAGTAATGTCATGCAGKGGTTTAACCCTTCAAGGCATGAAGCAGTCTGTCCTCAGATCAGCTACACACTACAAGTGTGTGCTGAAGTGCTGGACCGGTCCCCCTGACTTCAAAGGTGAGTACATGTCAGTGCCAGTGTAGGGCTATTGAGCACTCTGCAGGGTGAGGCAAGCCTTCATATCTGGCACCTCTAAAGTTTTTCATCTGTTTACTGAATTGTCACCAGKATCTATGTAGTATCCAGCTGACTATGTGGACATAATAATCACATTTTATAAATAAACACTGTAGTATCCTAAGTATAAGCTTCTCTGATAAAAGTATAAACTCTATGATTATTAAAACACTAATCTGTATGTCTATTTAGTCGAAACTACTGGATCATGATAATATAAAATACCTAAAGAAAATACTGGATGAACTGGAAAAAGTTTTGGATCAAGTTGAGACTGAATTACAGCGGCGAAATGAAGAAACACCAGGTGAGGAACCATTCTTGCTATATCATGTTAACATATCTGTTTGAAGATACTGAGTAAACTTGTTGACAGCACCATTATAAAACTATTTTAAATGTGTCAGATTTGATACTTTCAGTATATATTGATCCATACATCGTGGAAGGGATCAATACGGTTTTAACTATTAGCTTACTTTACTGTCAGTGAGTTCTCCCTGTCTTACGATCACTGTGCTTGATCACATTTTCAGCAAAACGAGCATAATTACCTGCACAATTTTTTAGTATTTTATCAACAAAATCAGAAAAAATTTGACTACAGAATATTGATGTTACAGGGGAAGGCCTTGGTTCACTGTAATGATCACAACCTTAATGTTTAACACAGGCTTACGATAATCTTGTGCAAATACTTGGCTGGTATTTGTGGTATATGCAGAATTAGCAATCTGGATAATTGCTGTTCCATCACCCTGTTGGAAAGCAGTCCTGCTTACCTGCCTCCACCCAAATGAAAATCAAYGTTTTCACAGAATCACAGAATCATCAAGGTTGAAAGAGACTTTCAAGATCATCAAATCTGACAGTCAACCCAGCACCATGATAATCACCCTTAAACCATATCCCACTGTCCACTGGGCAGTTTATTCCAATGCCTGAYCACTGTTTCAGTGAAAAGCATTTCTAGTATCTAATCTGAACCTTCTCTAGCGCAGCATAAGSCCRTTTCCTCTCATCCTGTTAGATAGGCATGGTCCAAATACTGAGTCCTGGGGAACCCCACTAGTGACCAGTTACCACCTGGATGTAACTGCATTCACCACCTCTCTTTTGAGCCTGGACATTCAGCCAGCATTTCATCCCATGAAGAGTGTACCCATCACAGCCAGTTTCTCCAGGAGAATGCGCTGGGAGACAGATCAAAGGCTTTACATATGTTTAGATAGACAATATCCACAGCCTTCCTCTCATCCATTAAGTGGGTCACTGGTCATGGAAGGAGGTCAGGTTGGTCAAACAAAACCTGCCTTTTGTAAACTCACGCTGGCTGGGCCTGTTCTCCWGGTTGTCCTGCACATGCYGTATAGTGACCCTCAGGATGATCTGCTCCATGACCTTTCCCASTACTGAGGTCAAGCTGACAGGTCTGTAGTTTCCTGGATCCTCCTTCTGACCCGTTTTGTAGATAAGTATTACATTTGCTAATTTCCAGGCAACAGGAACTTCTCCAGTTTACCAGGACTGCTGGTAAATGATTGGCAAGTTTTTGACAGCTCCCTTCTTACTCTTGGGCACATCCCATCTTGTTCCATATGCTTGTGGGTGTCTAACTGGCATAACAGGTCACCAACCATTTCCTCCTGGTTTGTGGGGGCTTCACACAGCTCCCCATCACKAACTTCCAGCTCTGGGGGCCTGAGCACTWCTGGTTTTKKTATTAAAGASTGAGGCAAAGAAGGYATTAAGTACTTCAGCCTTTCCCTCATTCCCTGACACTGTTTCCCCCTGCGTCCAGCAAAGGATGGAGACTCCTTAGCCTTCCTTTTGCTGTCAATGTATTTATAGAAACTGTTTTTGTTGTCTTTAACTACAGTACCCAAATTTAAGTTCCAGTCTGGCTTTGTTTCTGATTTYCTCCTGCATAATGTCATGACATCTTTGTAGCTACCCTACTTCTTCCAGAGTGAGACAGTCTTGTTTACCCTGAGTTCCAGGCTAACCTTCCTTGTTTAACCAAGCCAGTCTTTTTCCAGTATATTCCAGGGTCTAATCGATATATATATATTCCAGTATATACAGCCTGCTCCTGTACCTTTGAGAATTCCTCCTTAAAACTTGCCCATCCTTCCTGTACTACTTTGCCCTTCAGGACTGACTCCCAAGGGACTCTGCCAATCAATCTCCTAAGCAGTCCAAAGTGCCTGGAGGAGATCCAAGGGGCARTTCTGYTGGTATCTCTCYTTACTTCAYCCAGARCTGAAAACTCCATCATTTCATGSTTKCTGTGCCCMAGATGGTCCCTGAYCACCGCGTCAYCCATGGGTCCTTCTCTGTTCACAAATAATAGGTCTAGCAGGGCACCATCCCTGGRAGGCTCACTTACCAGTGGAGAGGAAGTTCTCTTCCACACACCCCAGAAACCTCCTAGATTGCCTTCTCTCCACTGTGTTGTATTTTCAGCAGGCATCTGGCAGGCTGAAGTCCCCCACAAGWACAAGGGCTGGAAATTAAGAGACTTTTGCCAACCTCCTGTAGAATGAATCGTTGCCTCTTCACAGTGGCTAGCAGGTCTGTAACACACTCCTACGAGGACATCTGCCCACTTACCTTCCCCCTGATCTATACCCACAGGCACTTAACCTTGTCAGCATCCTAAATTCAGTTTAAATGGAATTAGCTTCTGCTTATTCACAGCATGGTTCAACTCCCAGTGGTGCTAGTAGGAGTCCTTTCCCTGACTTCACTGGGAACTGCATGAAGCATCAGTCAATATCAACTACATCTGCTCAAATCAATAACTTTTTGCATTTAGCACTATAAATAGCTGTTGTAATAATTATCAGTTRCTATCACAACTGTAGATTTGAAGCAGCAGTTGAAAATCCAGATTAAGTTTTCTACTGATTCAACAGTGAAAGAGTCACAGAAAATATTTTAACTCCTGAAGGATGGAAGGATTTTTTTCAGCAAACTACATCTGCCACCATTTTCAGCAGCCTCTTTCCTTTCTCTGCTAAGTTGCCTTTCCAAGGAGTCAACTGATACAGTATTGATTAGCTTATGAAAACTGCTGGGATCACAGGATTTTGTAAAGCATAGGGCTGTTGCCTCTTGGAATTTTGTCTGAGGTATTCCAGCTTTTGAAGTTTGTGATCTGTGCTTCTCCAGGTCCTGGTTAAACTCAGAACTTATCCTTCTCTTGCTACTGCGTGAATTACTCATTGAATTACTGCTGCTGCCACTGCGGGCATCTTTCTTTCACACAGGATAGATTCACTGGTCTTTTCCATCATCTCAATGCACTGGATAAATCCCCAGGTATCCCTTCAGCAAGCTAGGATACACTACTTTTCTGCCGAGGCCTTTCTTCCAGATTTGCATAACCAGTCAGAATGGACTGGTACCAGCTTTGTACCAAGCTGCTGCTTTTCTGGTGGCAGATGTGTTGGAAAGGAGATTGCCAAACTTCCCTGTTTCCAGAGAGCTGTTGCTGGGTGTTCGTGCCAGTACTTTTGCATGCCTGCTGTGTGGGACGAACTGCAAAAGTTACAAATGAGAAGGGAACAGCACAGTCCTCCCTATTCTAGATCTAGGCTAGAGCAGAGTACTTGTGCTGGCAGCTATGATAGCTGTGCTGGCTATCAAGTTTCATATCCTGGGTTTCAAAAGCTCTTGGTGTGGTCAGTACAGGTCAGCCCTTTTAGGTGGTGGTGGTTCAGATCACTAACAGCAAAGTCTGATGCCGCCTTGCACTGCCAGCTTTGAGCCATCCCAGGAAAGTTCACCACTTTCCTTTGAGGAAAGGGAGAGGGAACCTGGGTTTCCATCTGTGCTCCTGACTAGTGGTGTGCAGTGTAAATATTTGTCACTTTGCAAACATCACCGTGTAAAACCCCCATRGTTTGGGGTCTAAGAGACACAAAAGAGGGGCAAACTCTGTCATCTCACTAAGCTGGTATGTTTGGTGCAGGTCAGTCACCTGATCCATTTCTTTTCGACTTGAAAACCTCCAACAAGTTAGCTGGATTTAGTTTTTGAGTGAATGCCTAGAGCTGAGTGACACAGGCAAGATGMTAAATTCTTCAGACAAGTGGTAGCTTTTCAGTAGAAGCTAAACTGCCTTCCTCCTTTCCAATCCTGTTTTAATTTAATCCAGATTTGAAAAGTRCAGTTGAGGAAAGTAAGTGTTTACTGTGGGTTTTAATTCATGAACCTGGAATGTGGATCTTTKTTTCCTTAGCAAATGTAGGCCAGGCTGCTGATCCTAAGACTTTACGATATTGTGCAGAGTGTACAGGGATTAGCAAAATGTTCATTGATTAAAATCRTATCTTAGCTGAAGTGTTGTTGCTGTTTATTGGATGGTACTTTGAAATAGCACTAAACTAAATGTGCTTATATTCCATTAGTTCCTAATCCTTTATGTTTTATCTCTGCTTAGAAGATGGAAATCAGCCTTGGCTCTGCGGTGATTTCTTCAGTCTGGCAGATGTATCGCTTGCTGTCACATTACATCGCCTGAAGTTTCTGGGATTAGCAAGAAGAAACTGGGGGAATGGAAAACGGCCCAACTTGGAAGCTTATTATGAGCGTGTCGTGAAGAGAAAAGCATTTTACAAAGTTTTGGGACACGTCAACAATATATTAATCTCGGCTGTTCTGCCAACAGCATTCCGTGTGGCCAAGAAAAGGGCTCCCAGGGTTCTTGGCACCACGCTGCTGGTCAGCTTGCTGGCCGGAGTGGGTTATCTTGCTTTCCTGTGTCTTCGGAAGAGATTTGCCAACATGGTGCTATCGATTAGACCCAGGAAAAATTTTTTTTAGACCCTGTCTGTCCCTGGTGGTGAGTGAAGGGAATCTCTACCCCCCAGGAAAATATCCTCAATAAAATATAAATATAGAAGAACGATTATGTCTGTGAATTAGAACATTGTCACGCAGTAATAATTTCCTGCTGCTGTATAATTGGGTTGGCAATGCTGAGATATTTTTCAAAAATATATGATGGGGGGATGACAAAGGAAAGAAGAGACTTTCTGTTCAGCCAAGGGGCTATAACTGTGACAGTGATTTGTTAAAGTGATTATTGTCTCCTTTACCCAGTAGCTGACCTAATTAAAATGCTTTTATTTAATAGATGATGCAGCAATGTGACAGCTTTTCACTATAGATCAAATGCATTATTGTGCAGAAACCAGCATTTTTAAAAATACTGAAAATAGCTCTTACTTTGAATGTTCAGAGTAGGATTTAAGTGGGACATTGTGCCTGTTGTGTACGGGAGCAAGTTTCTCTTTACTGATGAATGTCTGTTAATTTGCAGTCAGACCTTCAGGAATGTGTTAAAAAGTAATCTTGTGAAGCCACTTCTGTGTATGTTCATGCAGCAGTACCTGAAAAGACCTGAAACAGGTAAGAACATCTTGTGTGGTTTGTGGACCACACAAGAGAAATCTGCAGAGGCATCACTGGACAACAGATACTAGAATTTTGCCGAAATACAAATGGTAGTGAAATACCTGATGCTTGTCTTTTAAAAGCTTTTTGGTCTCAGCTGCAGACTCTGACAGAATCAAATCAAACTCTTGATGCCTAAATCTGGCTATCTAAAACAGGCTAGACAAAATTAAGAGAATAAAAAAACAGTTATTTTTATTGTCGCAGCCCGCCCAGGGGCTATACCCAAAATGGACATCCAGTCACGGGTTTTTCATGCTTTGTAAGTTTTGTCCATTTGCATATCAGGGATTAATTCTCCAATTACAGTGTCAGGTAATGAAGTTGTTGACTCCAAGTCTGCTCCCCCCAATTCACTGTTGTTTACAGATCTTGAGGCCTGAGACAGTGAGGTGTCCTTGAGTTTTGGGCCTAGAGAGGAATTACTTTGTCTAAAAAATGGGAGAATAGTTGGCTTAGTACTGTATAAGCAGTCTAGAGTTATACACTACAGAATTACAGGATTACAGATACATGAAAAATATAGAAGCCAAAATCCTAAGGCATCACCATCATTTGCTGCTTTCATTGGGGTGGTGTGATATAGTTGCCTCTGTCTGAGTGTCCCCTCTATCCTTTCTTGTTTCACTCTGAGCACTGGCTATTTTTTTGCACATTTCTTGGCAACATCAGCRATTGCATGTGCCTCTATAAAATGTTTGCCCATAGTGTGCCACAGCTGATTAGAAAACATGTATAAACAATGCATTTTTGTATAAGTAATTAAAAATAGTTTGCTGTCTATCAGTCTGGTTAGGTAGCCTAGATTGAAGGTAAAACTATTGTAGCAATCTGTTTACTTTCGGATAGGGGTCGTGTTGGTGGTAAGTGAAAAATACATTACGGTTTGGAAACGTATGATTTGTAGTGCTGATTTTTTGCAGAACTGCACTCTTGTAGCATGGAGGAAAGGTGTAGAAAAGCATTTTGATTACTTCCTACTATTGAGCAGATGCTGTGACTTTTATTAGTTTTGAACTGAGCTCCCATTTTAACAAGAAATGTACATTTACCTGAAAGTAGACTTTGAACCATTTTGCAGAAAGTAAGTGTTTGGGAAGGGCTGAATTCTCATGACAGTTTAGTAAGATTTTTATATGCTTGATGAATGTCTGAAAGCCTCAGAGTTTTGTTTACAAGTTGTACATAGCTGCAACAAACAAAGCATAGCTTTAAGTATTTGCCTATCATCAATCAGGCCTAAGTACATTTTAGGTCCAGTRCTGGTGGCTGTGGTCTCTCTGGACAATTGCATTTAGGTGTCAAGAAAATCATCTCAGGTTTGCTGGAGGGAGCTGAGGCAGTTTCTGTCTGGGCAGTCTCACCATCTAACAGATATCAATATGGACAAAATTACTGAATACTCCGGCTTATTATTTAATGTTGTGCTAGCTATCTAGAAAAGTCAACCTAAATCTCGTTACTACTTTTTGCTAATAAGAAACATCTTACATAGGAAACAATGCGCTTCCTTATTTGTCAAGAAGACAAATAAAGTTTTATATAATTCTATTTCATGACCCAGTTGTTCTCAAGAACTCGTTGAATTAAATGTGTTCTGTTTAGAAAAGCTTTATTATCTCTAGARTGAGTTTAATCCAACAATACTATTAATGTACTGGCAGCTTTAACTGAGTTTGTTGTTTGTGTGTTGCAGTTCATCTGCATTTACTTGTAGCTATCAAATTCCACCAAGTTAATAAACACAGAGTAAGACTCGTAACTTAATGCTTCCSTGGCATGTATTTCTGTCAGACCATCTGTAAAATGTAATTTGATCAAGTAAAAATAAATATRTATGACTTAGCTTTCGTTAGAGTGAAGTGACCACCAGATGTCAGTGGTCCTCCAGYGCTCTGATCTGACGTGCCTCTGAGGAAAACATCACTTCTCACAAAAAGTTTGTGATCTCAGTGTAAGAGGCATGTGAGCACCCTCATCAGACAAACAGTCTCTCAGGAGCTCAGGAAACAACTGCGTCGGTTTACCATAGTTTTGTCCTCTGACACTTGCCACTTACGCTAGTGTGGTTTCCATACTGAGTATATGGGAGGCCAAAGATGAAATAATATTTCACATGAAAGTGAATGTTACTGAACAGCAATTAAACTCGTCATCTGAAAGAATGAACGTGGATAAAACTTACTGCAAAGAAAGTTTGGATTTCTGATTGATTCATGTCTGTTAGTTCAACTGTTTGACATCCTGCTTATTTTCAYTGCCCTGAAGTACTCTGTGCATTGATTTCTGTACAGGTGGCAGCAAAAGGCTTATCCATGATTAAATTCCTCAAAATAGGATGAGATTTAGAAGCACATATGCTGCATTTGACTCTTTGTGCAGGACAGCKTTTGTGCTTGTAAAGTTTCTTTTCAGCCTGGCTTWTTTTCTTTCTGGCAGCTCTGTATACTATTTTGATTGGGTACAAAAGCAATCTTCTGGTTTTCATTTACTATTTGCTCTCATATCATGCATCGGATATATTTCATATCTTTATGTGGGACTCACACAATGAACATMGATTCTAAGACCACTTTCTAGTCTGGTTTATGTCTTCTGTGTCAGTAAAATAAAGCACATTTGAGTGTTGCTGTAAAGAGTCTAATGATATTCAAGGAGAGAGGCCCTTGAACATCTTTCAGACCAGTTTTAAAGGTGTTTACCAGCTTGCCTTGCATGCATATGGAAACAGCAGTAACAGTGATGTTTTCTTTGGTGTCTGTCTGAGCTCTATATGTATGAGGTCCAACAGAAGCTATTTAATAAAGTTTAAAAGAAAAAAAARGGGGTAAGCAGTTTTTGTACTTAAAATTAATCCATAGAAAAAATCCTACCCCACTTTGCTTCTGAGTGTGTCCCTGATTCATTGTTGAGCTACAGCAGCTGGGCTTCATTTCTGTAAGGTGCATGACGAGCACATAATCTGTGTCCACACTGACACTGTCCTTGATGAGACTAAATGGTGTGCCCCATTAAACGTGTGTTAGTCTGGCCATAAACAAAGTCTTTTTTTTGTTTGCACTGTAGTACTCTGTTATTGGGTCTCCTTCCTTGTTAAGCGGAGGAGTAAACAACAGTACTTGAAGCTTGCGTGCATTGCCTCTCAGTGTCTTGAAAGTCAGGAAAGATGTTAGGATCAGGCATGCAGCTGCTAGGGCCCGAGTTTATGACACCTGTAGTCTGCGCACCAACGYTGAAGTAGCCTTGATGTTTTAGCATTAATCAGAAGTGTGCACAGGGCTCTKGCAGTGGACAGTCTGTATCTGTCTAAATGGACAAGAGGCAAGAGTGAATGCAAAGATAAATACAGCAAATCCAAAATTCCTTGTTCACATTCACAAAGCCATGCATCCCCTTTTGCATGTCACATTTTTAAAGGCATTTTTTACTTAAGTCTGAATTTTATGGGAGCAAGGAGCTACTAAGATTTAGAGAGCAGATTGGCATGCCCTAATGCRTGAGGATTAGAGACAGCAGCAGATGGAAAGTAGGTGAAAAGTAGTGGGTCTGGCTATCTGGAGCACACTGTGCTCTGCAATAAGGTGTATGACAGATGGCTGTTTGCTGAGGCCTTATGAAGTTTATCTGTCTGTTTAGCTGATGTTAGACAAAGAGGTGTAAGGCTGTGCTTAGGCAATTTATAAGATGTGCCAAGGAAGTCAAAAGCATGTAGAAAAATCCGAAACAAAATATGCTGGGTTTTGTTCCCTCCTTTCTCTATAAAGAAATTTTTCATTTTGGTGCAGTCCCAAGTCATAAAGTCAGGCACTCAAAACTCAGGAAATTCCAGAAGCCAGAGTTCTTACTATACTCTTAACTCACTCACACAATACTTCAATAGCCTTTTTATTTCTGTTTTTCTTTCTCAGTTACAATCATGGTGCTTTATTTAATGTGAAGTTAAAAATGTTGCACCATAAAATAGTTAAGCTTAATGTTGTGGGAAGAATCTGTTGGAATTTGCAGAACTGAAGGCCTAACTATTTCTGTGCTTTACATCAGCATTAGTATTTACTGCAGTTTTAAATAGTCATAAATAATAATATAAAAGTGTATTGTGTAAACTAACACATAATCACATAAATCAGTATTAATCTACTTTATATGTACTAGTATGTATTGAAATTCTATATAGGTATACAATAGGGTCCCTATTTATCCCTGTCACATTTCATTTGATAAAAATGGGTAATTGACAATTATGTATTTTACTGTATTACTTGCATTTATAAAATAAATTTGCATTTATAAAGGTAAAATTATAAAAATTTTGTGCAATCATAGAATTATACAAAGTTTTGGGTTGGAAGGGACCTTAAAAAGCATCTAGTTCCAACTCCCCTGCCTTGGAGAGGTGTGTTCCCCTTTCCTTATTTACTCTGATAGTGTTAYAGTATTTGACAACATTGGTTATATCATGACTGTAGGGACTTGAGACTATACATGAACATATTTGGTGCTTCATGTTAGCTGATGATCCAGATCAGAATCTGAATGCTGCTGCATTTGGACTGAAATGAAAGAAAGCTYCAGCTGTTGAGAAACAATTGGCATAGTGAAAATTGTTTATTTAAGGCTTGTTTCAGAAAGGTTACCTAGCTTCAGGTGTTTAAGCAGATCATGTGTGTTTCTGTACAGAGCATTGCCAGGGCCAGACCAGATGTGAGGGGACCACTGGTTCTGTCACCTGCTGGCTGAGGCATTCACCTTACAGAAAGTGGAGTTCTTCTCCCCCGCTTTGTATTGGAATACGTAAAACTCAGAGCTAGAGACTGAAACTCCTCCGTCTWAGATACAGGCCCTGTGCAGTAAGTTGCAGTCAGACTCCCTCTTTCTCAGCAAAAACATGTCTGTCTTTGCAGAAATCAGAGGCCATTCCTTTGACCAAAGGTAGTTTGGACATGTGAAGGGCTGAGACTGTCAGTCACTCAGCAACTTGATGGAGATCAGGGCCTGCCATGCATTTTCCTCTACCAGCTATATTTAAAAGGCAGCAGTTAGCAAATGCCAACCTCTTGGTAAAGATGTCTTTAGGTATTTAACACAGGTTTGGTGAAAGGGAAGGAATTCCAGACTCTGGAGCCCAAAGAACCAAAGAAAAAAACTGTCCAGAGAAGTTCCACCACTGCATCTTATAGTCCARCACTGTGTGGCTTTTCTGGAGGTGGAGAGAGGCTTTTGGATTGGTGCTTCTCAGGACATATTGTTGTATCTCACTTCAACTGTTTAACTGAAATCAATGGAAGGAAGAAGAAATATCTGTCTCTGTTGAATACATGGTGAAGCCACCTTCCTAATACAGATATTTAAGTTGGCTCACTGTTCAGAAAGGTACTGTGAAAGCATATGTTTTGAACTGTGTAACTCTCCTCAAACACCTTGTCACAAGCCTTGACACCAAACCAGAAAAATTTAAATTAGAGGTCAGGGGTAGTAAAAATAGAAAGACCTATTGTTTGGATTTTTAGGTCTTCARATAGAAATAATTCTAGAGACAAAGATCTCACAGGAGGTCTGTACCAGATACTCTTCGTCCAAATCTTGTGCCTTAAGAATCTGTGCACCCTTCTGYTGTGCTGAATTAAAGACAGCTCTAAAACACAGAATCCACTGARACTTACACAGGAAACAGAATTGGCCAATGTTGCAGTAATGGAGGTATCAAGATTTCAGTTTCTAACAGAGAGCCAAAWTCAGATCTGGTATGAGTCATTGCTACAAAAAAATGTAGTGGAGCATCTACTTACATGRGATCTGAATTTGATTTTAAAGTCATTATGCCATGAATCACGTTTTACAACTTTCCCTTGACAAGTTTTGTTTTAATCAACCYATTTGTTACAGAGACAATGAAAGCTGTACAGTATCTTTCTGAAACAAAGTATGCAGAACTTAAGCTTTTAAAAGCTGTGTAAGCTTTTAATACAGGCAGTATATACTGAATTGAAATTTTTGGAATATGGAGTTATTTTTGGAATAAAGAATTCTTTTAAAACAAGTCCAAGAATGTATGTTTAGGACTGATTCCAGAACAGCATCATAAATTTTTTATTCTTTGGATTTGAAAGAGAACCACAAAGCTATAGCTGACTTAATTTTTCTGTTGCTAACAGCAAATTGTAGCTATGATATAAGGAAACTCCAGCAAMTAAAAAGATTACAGATTTCTCTTTTATGCATATAATATATAGAAAAAAYAACTGCTTAGTTAATTTTCTTATGTTAATCATACTGGATAGGAGTTCTGCCTCTTGTTGTGTGTTGTAAGAAGTTAACAGTGTATTTTTGTGCAAAGTAAGAGATGGAAATATTCCCAAAGTGACTGGCAGAATGACATTGGCATTATTGGCTGAGACTGCAGTTCCACACCCGTGGCAGCCCACAGAGGTGGAAGTCCAGCAGCAACTGAAAGAGACTCATTGCAGTCCARGAGCCTTCTATGACAACTGGGAGGAGAAGCAAACCAAGCTTCAAACCCCGTGCAAAAGTGGCTGTGAAGTTCCTCAAGCTGGTTGCACAGATAGATGCCTAATATGTTTCTAGCATCTCTGTCTAACTTGGAATGGGAGAATACCTTGGTGCTWACACATTATCAATGACTGTATCAGTTGTCAGTCCAAGGGTAATGTATTGGAGAAAACTTACATATGGAGTTCTGGAATCAGAAAAGAAGTTTGTATCTTGTGCTTATGTTTGTATAGAAAATGAATAGGAGATATATTTATAAAGAGAAGCATATTCATACCTTGCTCTCGGCAAGAATTAGTTCTGAAATGCTGTCTTTAGCTTCACACTTCACAGTGACATGCTTAACCACCAGGAAAAGGAACAGGGGAGATAGTAATGGAGACTCAGAGAGAAGACCTGAAACGGTAAGTTATATTAACAGGGTGATACCCTAAGGTTTATTCTTTATTTGGTTTTGTTGGTTTGTTGGCTTTTCAATAAAAAAGAAATCCACACCTGATAAAGTGCTACCCTGCATTGCTGCGGAGAGGGAAATGCAATCACAAGATGTTGTCTGTCAATGAAGGAGTAGAGGTTTGCTTACTGTGCATGGGAGTTTATCTGAACACCTCTGCTGGAGCTGAAATGTGTGAGGAGACAAGCATTATTATTGCATGGTTCATTGACTCATTCGATAATGATTCTGTTTAACGAGAGATTCTGTACTTCAGTCACAGCTGAAAACACTGATTCAAGATAGCAGCAATTTCCCTGCTTGCCTCCATTAACAATTTATTAGGTATTAACAAATTTTATGTTTTTGYATGTATTATAATTAATCTCACCACACAAGTTTCCCTCAAAAGTAGTTTTGTTCACCTACACTGCAGTCCTTCATCTCATGTTTGTTTGTTCAGGACTGGTTCTAATCTGGGCTGTTTGCTGTATAACCTGCAGCTCCCCAGGCTCCTGATGGTTGTGGGCACTTTGTGTAATGTTGCATCTTAGAATCATGGAATCGTTTAGGYTGGAAAAGACCTTTAGGATGATCGAGTCCAACTGTTAAACCAGCACTGGCAAGTCCAGCACTAGACCATGTCCCCAASTGCCACTTCTACATGTCTTTAAATACTCCCAGGGATGGTGACTCAGCTGCTTCCATGGGCAGTCAGTTCCAGTGCTTGACCACTCTTKCCATGAAGAAGATTTTCCCAACAGAACYTCCCCTGGTTCAAYCTGAGGCCATTTTCTCTTGTCTTGCTTCACTTGTTTCTTGGGAGAAGAGGCTGACCCCCAYCTTGCTGTGCTAAAGCCTCCTTTCAGGCARTTGTAGAGRGCAATAAGGTCCTCCCTGAGACTCCTTTTTCTCCAGAGTAAACAAAAACAACCCCCTCAGCTACTCTTCATAAGACTTGTGCTCCAGACCCTTCACCAGCTTCGTTGCTCTTCTCTGTACACTCTCAAGACCTAGATACTTTTCTTGTAGTAAGGGATCCCAAAATGTGCACAGTATTTAAGGTGTGCCTTCACAAGTGCCAGGTACGGGGGGATGATCACTGCCCTGGGTCCTGCTGGCATCACTACTTTGATACAGGCCAGGATGCCATTGGCCTTCTTGGCCACCTTGCTTGCTTAGCTCAAGAAAGCAAGAGATTTATCAAGCTTTAYGTGCTCTGAAGCATTGTTCTTGGTAATAGTAGCTGCTTGGCATTAGCCGTAATTGATATGATGTATACTTTTGATAATGACTAGCTTTCCATGAGGAAAACATGCATATTTTGAACTTACTTCAACACTATGTGCTCCAATTCCACCAYTTATAACTGCAAGTTTTGTGAGGCAATGTGCAAAAGAAAATGCCCATTTTTCAGACCTTAAATGAAAGAGATATATTTGATAGCATGAATACTTCATCTGTAGTACAAAGACTTATCTGTAGTACTTGGAATTTATAGTTTACTTCTCCAAACCTGTGAGAACTTACAGCTCTCACCTGACTCAATATGACTGGGTGTTTTGGATCTCTTGATCAAATACACACTTGATGTCCATTTTATTATATATAATGTGCTCCATGTAAACAGGGATGGTTTAGAATCATGTCCTTTTAAATGTAAAATTCCTTGGATTGCTTATAGGAGCATATCTGTGAGGGCTCAGTATGGCAGGGATCAGTAGACTGGTGATTTACCCAAAAGCAGATGTTTCACTTTACACAAATTTGYGGAAATTTATATTTCTTTTATAGTTGCACTGACTTTTCCTGTGGTTTATCTTTTGACTCTCATATTCAGACAATCTAAACATAACATTAAACCTTTGCCAGGTAATTCAATGAGTAGCAATTGTAAATTTTTTTATTCACAGCTCTTACTCAACTCATTCAAGTGGCCTGATTAGGAAGTATTTTAAAATATGTGGCAATAATATTTCCATCATTCTGCCACTGTTCCAGAGCATCACCTGATGGTGATGCATGGTGGAAAGCTCAACAGAAATGCAAACGCTTACTTCTCTAGTTTGTACTTTAAAATTTTTCACTTCTTTAACTTGCAAAGAAATAATGATCCAGGTATAGATTAAAAAGACCCCAAACACCAGAAGAGCTGGTTAGCTGTTTGGGARCATAAATTGACTCTTTCCTGCAGCTGTAGAAAAGGTCAGTAAGCTCCTACATGTATTATTTATTTTTGTGTTACACGGGAGACAGCTAAATTTCAGATGAGTGCAAGTGGTGGAATTTT